GTTCCCGTAAATTTTCAGCTTCCTAGCTTTTGTGGTTCCCGAGTTGAAAGTTGCGGACAAGTTGCTACCGACACACACACACACACACAGGCAGTCCCGTGACAATAGTCGTTTGGTACTGCTGTTACACAGCACAAAACGCATAAAGAAGGAATAGGAAAGAAATTAGGAGATGGAAGACGAGGTGAATATGGAAATCATTTTGAATTTGTCTAGAATTCCACGACTTAGTCTTCGAAAGCTGCAATTTCCCAGAAAAATTACAGGAGTTTTCTATTCCCTGAATGCCGTCGTTTGCTTACTTTGGAAGAGTACCAACAGCAAGGTGAAGAAGAAACAAGAAAAGCGCTGGAACAATTGCGCCAGTACTGTCGTAGTCCAGAAGCAAATGCATGGAAGATCACATGCTCTGTAAATGATCCAAAAAAGTAAGCGCTGCATTTTTTTAGTCTGCTTAAACGTTTATTCGTATCTTTACTTGAAATGATACTTTTCTTGACATATTACTACTCATCTTTTATAACACTTTCTGCTTTTACTAACATACATTTTCTACTTTTACTAACATGCTTTACACAACTAATTCAAATTTAAATTTAATTTTTATGCCAACTGAAATTACCACAATCGTCGTACTGACGAGATCCAACTGTGATAATGGTAAGAAATGTATACAACTTCATAGGCCGAAACACTTCTTACCATTACAATAATTAAAATAATTTCACCAATTTTACTAATTTAATAGTTTTTGTTACACAATTTCCTCCTCGATTTTTTTATTTCATCCGCTGTTGATATACCTTTCTATTTTGTTTGTTAATTTGTAATTTTTCTTGGGAAGCATGTCATTGAACGGTAAAAGTTATTGACCGGTTTTTCCGATTGCCCGTAAAATATGAGATTTCATGAAGAAAGCTCGCTAACTAGCCTCCTTTTCGGTTTTTGGATTTTGGACCATTTTCGATTTTTGGACCATTTTTTGCGATATTGACGCTTGATTTTCCCCGTGTTGATAGCATGAGATCGAATTGTTTGCAGTTTACACTCTATGAAGTATTACTTTACGGTTTAAATACACGGTAATAGTTGACTTAGACTTGGGATTTGACAAAATAAAAAGAAAATAGGGTCATCATCCAAGAAATTGCCTTGACGATCTGCATGGAGTTCTTATATTTCAGGTTCGCAAGCTTCGTAGATGGTGCTTCTGATCACGTCAGTGAGGAAGAATCACGTTTGCATGATCTGGAATGTCTAGATTTGGATGATCTCACTGATGACAGCGGCGAGGACGAATATGTTGTTGCGAGGCGTTCGCTTCTTTCAAACAGTCAAAATGCTTTAAGGTGAAATATTGTATTTTCGATTTGTTACACATTAATTTTCGCCATTCTGTATAATCGTTTAACGGATTTTTCCCTTATGCCACTGCTGGTGCTGCTGGTTTTTTTTTCCAGAAAAAATCCTAGCATTCTAAGGGTCAAGCCGTCTCAGTTTGCCTTTTAAAATAAATCTTGAAAAACGCAATTTTTCCTAAAGCCTTACATTTGGCTTACGTGATTTTAGCATATTGTTCTGGTGTTTGATGTTTAAGCTTTACTCGAGTATATCTCCGGTGCCTCAGAGGCAGTAAACTGCGACGGATTCCTAATTTATAACTTGTTCTGTTGAGCATTTGTACAATTCCGTAACCAAAACAGTACATAACATCGAAAGAGAGGATGCAAAGAAAAGAGAAGGCTTTTTTTTTTCTGAGAAACAAACATCTTCAGCAGTTGATAAATTCTAGTAAACTTAATTACTGCAATTTAAAAGAAAAAATGTTAGTTTTTAAAATTTCAGCTTTTTGCCCATCCTGATCCCCTTCTTCAGGTCTTCTTTTTCCAGGCAAAGATATTACGATGATCAAGAAAATATTGCTCCTTCTCACAGTCGATTGGTGCATTTGGATTCTAGCGTAAGGCAGAGGCATACATTTGAAGAGCACGAAGACAGCGACTCCAGTGATAGCCTTGTTAATGGTTCTGCGCCATTGTATGACACCAGTTTGTCACTGAAAACACATCGAAGGTAATTATCCTCTTTTGTACTGAACTCAAATCTGCATTTGCTGTATTTTTTCACTTTGTTTTGCTTCACTTTTCATTTAAATCAATCTTTATTTCTGATCTAAATGTTAAAGCATTGAGAATCTCCTCACATCCAGCGCCACTGGCTTAATTTTCACTGCTTTTCTGTGCTTTTGTTCCGTATTGCATCAATTTCATTTCGTAAGCAAAGGTGCTGAGCCAATCTCTTTTAATGTTTTTTTTTTTTTTTTTGTTTCTTTTGCGGCTTTTTTTTTTAAAACAGTAGTAGTAAGTGGTATTTCCAGTAGCGGTTTTGAAATTTGCTTTTTTATGTTGCATTATATTACTGCTCAATAATTTGTTTCTGCATCTCATGTTAGGTTCAAATGTCTAAAAATAGGATCACACAAAAGCGGTTAAAGCGGTTTCGCAAGTAGGATCGTGCAATATAAATTATTGGCAAACGCACCGGCTGCCCGTGCGAAGATGCGTTTTTTGCATAGTTCCCCACAGTTCTTCTCGCTACCGGCATCGGTTTTTTTTTCGGCAAATGTTTCTAGCTAAACAAATTAAGACTGACCGCCAGAATTGGCAGGAAACACCCCCTTAAAATTTCAGCTTTCTAATTTTTCAGGCTTCTGAGTTAGAAACTTACTGGGAAAAAACTTCCACGGGCCTGCATGCGGGTACCACGCATACCCGATTTCGTTGAGGCTTAGTTGGACAGGGAACATCTTCTTAAAACTTCATTCTTTTAGCTTTTCAGGTTCTCGAGTTATGAACTTACCCGAGGAAAACTTTGGTGAACCCGTGCGT